AAACAGGAAACTTGACTTCACATCACCACTAGTCCATGTAGCTTATCTTCAGGAACATCTTGGATCTAGAACCCATGTACACACTTTACCATATCCTTTTGAAGATTTTATCAAGAAGGTGTTTGAATTAATGAGCCCAGAGACTTTCAAGAAAACCCTTTGTGTGGGTAATGATGGTCAACTGCTGGAGAGGGCATGGCAAATGGAGTTTTACCATGCAGCAAGACAACTGCTTCCAAAAAATGTACATATCTCTCCAGATGTTGGTGCTGTTTTTGCTTCAGAGGGCTGGGTGGACTTTTATGTTGATGGTAAACATGATTGGATGATAGAGCTAGTTTGAGATGGTGAAGATCTGGAAAATCATCAAAGGAAGATGAAGGATGATGGGCTATATGGTTCAATTCTGAAATGTGTTAAGCGTCATGCAATTGTGGATATTAGAAGTGGTATAGGTAGACCCCACAACCTGAAATCAGGTGTCATTTATGTTGTATGTTCACAGGACTTTTCCAGTGTGGAAATATGTATTAATAGTATCTGGGACAAGGTTTGGTTGTGTGGAAGTACAGATTTGTACACTGAGTTGTGTATCTCAGTGACATCTTATTGACAACTGACAGAAATGTTAAATGATTCAACCTCTTTAGTTTCTAGTTCAAAGCACTACGAGTATATGGGCATTCAGTATGGTATAACTCTTGCAAAACATACAGTATGGTATTGTATAAGTGTAATAAAAAGGTTGTATACCAATGCTTAAATCAAACATACTTCCCTTCACACCCACCAAAAAAAGGATTTAGAATAAAATTTTGCGTGACTTGGTATGGAAAAATATGGGCTATACCATACCATACCATATGTTCTGCAAGAGTTATACCATACTGAATCTCTCCCTACTGTACACGGCCATTGTTAATTTATTTATATTTATTACTATTATTGTTTAGACACTGGTAAAAATGTCAAATTTGGCTTGCAGTAAATGTTTGTATGCACAATTTTGGTTAATGAAGGTCAAACTTTTGATAAAATTGTAAAAACCTTTAACTATTGTTTATTTTTTTGTCAATGGTAGAAGTTCAAATACTGTAATAATACTATTGTGCAAAATCACATGATAATTCAAATTTTTTGAGTATAGATGATCTGCACTGTAGTGAACTTTTTATTGGCTGTGTAGATCTTTCATGAAAAACCAAAAACCTTAGTTTAGATCTTTCTCTACAAAGTTATGTAAGAATGAAAGAATTGAAATTTTTTTGTTTTTTTTTTATGTCTGCGTAACAATTCTTAATATTAAAAATAAAAAAAAAAATTTTTTATGGTCGCGTAAGAATTCTTAAATCGTTGATCTTTTAAAAAAAAATTACAATAATAAATCTCTGCATAAAACTCTGCCAACAATTATTGCCTGACTTTTATGCAGTAACTAATACTAACCGTATGCGACAAGGTTGGCGAATGTGTGGTCCATTGGTGGTCTATTGGTGATCCATTGGGTCCATTAGTGTAACATTTTATTGATGGCAATGGACCAGTCAATTTGCCAACCCTGGTACGCAATACTTTAAAGGTCACGTGACAGTTAAAGTAAATTTTTAATTGATGTTATGGCGCAGAAGTTCAACGACTAATATTAATACTAGCGCTTTTCAACACCGAATTTTCAAATAGTTATTAGTAATCGTGTAACTTGTTCCAACTGCTTTTTTTATATATATAGCCGGATAATCAATTAATACCCAAAACAAGAAACAAAGATAAAAACATGATCACAATTGTTTAATAATTGGGTGTAATTTTGATCGTAATTTCCTTTTGACGTTAATATTAATGTTCACTTTGTCTAGTTTGGTTACAGTCTGTTCCATATATAAACGATAAAGTTTTGGAATCTAAATTTTGGAGAGAAGAGAACAAATAAAAATTAATCGTATAATATTTTAATTGTTTTGTTACTGTTATTAATAGACATTAAAAAAAGATTTTTAACATATATGTAATTCAATATAATGTAATAATAAAAACAACAGAAAAACAATTTCCATTATTAGCGTTAATGAAAAACTCGAACTTTATTTGTTGTATCACACATAATTAAAAAATAAATTATGCAATTCCAACAAATTTATTTTGATTTTATATTTTTTAAATCTTATCGTTAGATTTATAATGTTAAAAAATACTAAAAATATTGAACTACGTTATGCCCCCCCAAAAAAAGTCAATGCACGTTACTCGAAACAAGAATTAGTTGGTAGAGGTGCTTACGGTGCTGTGTATAAAGGGTTGGCATTAGAAGAAAATATATTAATTATAAAAAAAATTTTTCTGAAAGGCAAATTTTTAAATTAGTTAATTCCTTTCCTCCGTGTGTGTGTCTTTATACACACAGAATAGATAATGATACAAGTATGCGTCCATACCTAATAGTAGCATCTCTAGGTATCATTGTTTTCTCTTCTTTCTCTTCACTATTATTATCA